GGGATGAGAGCAGCCTCTGGCCCACTGTGAGAGCCGACGAGACTTATCAAGGTCTCAAAGAGATCGGTTTGAGCTACGGTTCCATGTTCCAAAACCAAATCACTACCCAAAAAGGAATAGGTCGTTCCACAACCGTTATTCGAGTGCCTGATACTGTGGCCGTTATGCCATGCAACTATCAGCAAAGTCATGTTATCCATCCAACCACCCTTGATACAATTTTCCAAGCTATGTCCCATACTCTCCCTTCGGCGGGTGTCCAAGGGCGTGATGCATCAGTCCCAAAGTCTATCGCTTCTCTGTACATTTCCGCGGATATTAGCAGTGAGCCGGATCATTTGTTCAAGATGTGCTCGCGACTAGATCAGGCTAAGTCAAATGGCTTTGAATCCTCTGCGACAGTCTATAATGCAGGAACTTCTCCTACCAGCAACCTCGGGGAGTCTCCTATTCTCATCCTGCAAGGCCTTTTCTGCCAGTCTGTTGGAGGACCAGTCGCTATCAGTCAGTCCAACTTAGATAGATGGTGCTTCTCCACTGTTTGGAAGCCCGATGTGGGCATGCTAATGGCGTCCGATCTGTCACCCACCCCAGCATCTGAGCTGATAGATGCCAGCATCTCGGCTAAGGGTTTCCAGACAACTGCACTAAAATACATGGCTGAGACAGTCCTATCCCTCGCAGTGGAGGCCACGCCGAATATTGAATATTCTCAGTATTTCCAGTGGATGAAAGAGACCGTGAAGAAAAATATGAGGAAGCTCTGGACTGACCGTATCTTCCAAGATAGCGCTGAGAACACCCTTGTCTGCCAAATGGGAAAAGACCTCCCGGGTATCCTCACAGGAAAAGTCGATCCGGCAAAACTCATGCGTGACATATACATGAAAGAGCCACTGAGTGTGACAAATTGTGCCCTCCAAGTCCAGCAGACGGTTGAACTCCTTCTCCACAAGAACCCTAGTGCTCGGTTCCTGGAAATTGGCGCTGGTCGAGGCGAATGCACACGCATTGTTTTGAAGCTACTTGAGAACTTGCCAAATAGTGGTGCCTTTTGCGGAAGCTACGACGTTACCGATCCCTTCGCGGAACATGTTGACAGCCTTAGGGCTGGAGAGACTGCGGGTCGGGTGGCTTTCCAACGATATGATATTGACTTAGACCCTACAGATCAGGGAGTAGAGACAGGTTGTTACGACTTGATAATTGCCTCACCTCAGGTATACATGGCGCATAACCTCCAGCAATCAATGGCCTATGTACGAACTCTTTTGAAGCCTGGTGGACGACTTTTTGTGTGGGGACCAGCTCTTGATCGAGTCGAGATGCGTATGGTGTATGAGACGCTTCCGGCTTGGCGAAGTAAGTTCTATTAATGAACAAGTTAGCCTCTGCGTTATTTCTAACAGAACATCGGTCATGCAGGAAATTTTGAGACTGAAGGAGCTCACTTGCTCTCGCAGCAATGGACCACGACACTTCAGCGTGCTGGATTTGAGAGTATTTCCATGAAGCATACAAGTACAGAAAATGTGGATTGTTCCTTATCGAGCATCACGTTAGCGATTGCTCCATTTGAAAAGATCTCCGATCAATCATACAGACTGGCAATCGTATACTCCCGCTCGACCCTCCCCACAAATTGGTTGGAGAAGCTTTCAAAATCCATTGCGGAGATCAGGCCTTTCAACGTGACTGTTCATGCGCTGAGTGAAATCAAAGCGTTAATTGATCCATTTACGGTTGTGGTATTCCTGGGAGATCTGGAGACTACATTGCTGGATCAGCCCACCGCAGAAGAGTTTGAAGACCTCAAGTTCTTATTTTCTCGATCCTTAGGTGTTTTGTGGGTCTCTCGTGGTGCTCAGATTGATTGTCCAGGCCCATTTGCTAGTCTTCATCATGGAATGTTGCGGACCCTGCGATGCGAGAACAGCTGGAAGCAGTATGTCTCTCTGGACCTTGATCCAAATGAACCCCTTTGGAGCGCAGAATCAGTTCATCACATCACTCGTGTTCTTTCCGCCACCTTGTCTAAGCCAAGCAGCGACTCAAGGCTTTCGGAACTTGAATATGCCGTTCGCTCTGGAGCACTGCACATCCCTCGAGTCTATGAGGACTTTTTGCAAAACAATCACTTGGCGACTTCAGTCTCTCGTCAAGTATCAGAACCCCAACCTTTCGCGGAGGAAGGGAAGAACCTGAAGCTCGCATCGACTGCGCCCGGTCAGCTACAAAACTTGACTTTCGTCGAAGACCCTCGCCCTGATGAGCCCTTGCCAGAAGACTTCGTCGAACTCAGGCCTATGGCATATGGGCTCAACTCCCGAGATCTGATGGTAGCTCTTGGTCAAGTACACGAGGAACGTATGGGCTTCGAATGCAGTGGCGTTTTGACTCGAGTAGGCCCCAAGGCTACAGCTCGAGGATTTGAAGTTGGTGATCGAGTCTATACCCTCACCCCTGGATGCTTAGCTACAGCAGTTCGTATCCATTGGGATGCAATTGCTCGTTTACCCGACTGGATGGCGTTCGAAGACGGTGCCTCGCTGGCCATAGCTCATTCCACAGCGTACCACAGTCTTTTCGAGCTTGCACATCTTCAGCCCAAGGAGTCTGTCCTCATTCACTCTGCTAGTGGAGGTATTGGACAGTCTGCTATCATGATGGCACAGAGTACTGGAGCAGAGATTTTCGTGACCGTGGGATCAATAGAGAAGCGCACGTTCATATCGGAAACATATGGTATCCAACCCGATCACATTTTCTCCAGCCACGATGCGTCTTTTGCCGATAAGATCATGGCCCATACAGCTGGAAGAGGAGTTGATGTCATCCTCAATTCTCTGGCTGGTCCTCTCCTCCGTGCTACATTGCGTTGTATTGCTCGTTTCGGACGTTTCGTCGAGATCGGAAAGCGAGATATTGAAGAGGATAACAGTATCTCTTTGTCACCATTTGCACGCTGTGTATCATTTTTCTCGGTTGATTTGTGGACCATGTATGATCACCGCCCTGATCAGTTCTATGGCCTTCTTCACAAGGTTGCGGCGATTGTCGACCAGAGAAAGTTTATACCCGTCAGTCCCATAGTTGCTTATTCTATCGCAGACTTGGAGTCGGCATTCCGTGCCATGCAGGAGGGGAAACATATGGGAAGGATTGTTCTCCGGCCTGCCGAAGGAGACATTGTGAAGGTGAGTCAGGACCTGCGCGGTCTCGACGCCTTCATTGCGGGTGATGCTGATCACACATTTAGGTCTTACCATCAGCTAAAACTCTCTCATTGTCACCTGAGGGCAGCTACCTTATTGTCGGGGGCTTGGGTGGCATTGGAAAATTGCTTGCACAAGCCTTAGTGAACAGAGGCGCGCGTCATATCATTCTTATGTCTCGTTCAGCGGGCTCTCCTTCGCTTGAGGACCAACTGTTTGTGGAAAGCCTGCTGTTAGATCGCGTAAATGTGGTTTTGAAGAGCTGCGATGTCGCAAACAGGAGTAAACTGATCGAGGTTCTCACGGAATGCGCCAGCTTACTGCCACCAATCAAGGGTGTCATTCAGGGAGCTATGGTGCTCAGGGTATGTATTCAGATTCCGAATATCATCAGCTGGGCACTAACTAATCTTCATAGGATTCAATCTTTGAGAACATGTCTTACGCAGACTACACCACTGTCATCCAAAGCAAGGTACAGGGTAGTTGGAATCTGCATGAACTCATTCCCTCTTCATCTCTAGAATTCTTCGTCATGCTCTCCAGCCTCAGCGGCCTTGCAGGCAATACTGGCCAGGCCAATTATGCCGCCGGTGGTACTTTCCAAGATGCACTAGCCCGTCATCGAGCGGCTCTCGGTCTCCCAGGGGTCTCTATTGACCTTGGAATGGTAAAGTCTGTTGGTGTTCTTGCTGAAACAAAGAATACTACCTTGGCCAGTCACCTAGAAAAGACAGGACCCAGAGTCATTGACGGAAATATGGTAATCCGACTAGTTGAATCGGCTATTCAAAATCCCCGTCGGAGTCCCGAGTCCAGTCAAATCATCACGGCCATTCCGCCAGAGTTCACCCGCTCCGCATCAGCGGCATTTTGGAATCGTGATATTCGCTTTTTGCCACTGGAACGCGTGGATGGAGTCGCTGTGGCATCAGACCGTGGTATTGGAGCAGCAGTTGGTACAGTGGTACATACTAGATCCCTACTCGCAGAAGTTCAGACAGCTGCTGAGGCGCGGAGCATTATCAACGACGTACTGGTGACGAGACTGGCCAAGGAATTTGGGCGTCTTGAAACTGAGATCGATACCTCAATGGCTCTGACGGATATTGGCGTTGATTCTCTTATTGCTGTGGAGTTACGCAACTGGATTGTGACCACCTTGAATGCTGAGTGTTCAATTTTTGATGTTATGCAGAGCTCTTCGCTGACTCTTTTGGTGGACAAACTGGTCGGGAACAGTCGCTTGGTGCATGGGGGAATAAGCAAGAACGGACATGATGCGGATAAGATTACTGGATCAGACTCAGATACCAAGGGGAACTTGTAAGTATAGTGGCTTGAGAATATAATAGGTTACTGTTATGCAATATCTATAAATCATATTCGGAAGCAGAGCACAACTCCTGGCTCAAGACTTGATTGAGGATAATACAAGCCCATAACGGTATATGATATAATTGAATGTAAACGACATGCAAAACTCCGCTTAAAACTCCAATGCCTTTCTCGATGTCCAAATCCGCCCTTTCAGTTCCTGAATACACCTCTCCTGGAATTCTTCTCTCTTTCGTAAGAAGACAATATAGTCAATGACTAGAGAAAGCACCTCACCCTTGCTGCGCTTTATAGCCACTTTCCTTTTGCTGGAACTATCCTTGCGATCTTCATTTCCCGAGTCCATCCATTGCCCACTAGCCGGAATATCCTCTGGCAGCATCTCATCTAACAGGCGTATCTTATCATTGATGTTCGTTCGGTACTTCTTCTCGATGTGGTAATGGGCTACTCGCCTAGAAGTCCTGCTTCTGGGCCTGTCGGCTGCAGCTGCGCTTTCGCTTGGTGAAGCATGGTGACTGTGATTGGAATCCCTGCTGTTATAGGCTGCTCCACTCTCGACACTGGGAGTGGAGCCTGGATTTGTCGTTGCTTTTGGAGTATATGGGCCAGTCTGCCCTGTAATTCTCCAGTCTATAAAGGACCAGCTGTCCGCCACCTCAGGAGGAGTATTCAACATGAAATCGGGTCTCAATTGCGTATCGAATTTGAGTAGATCTACATGTGATTGGATTGAGTTCGGTTGGTTGAATACGTTCTCGAAGAAGAACGGTGTGCTGACTTCGTTATCTTGAAGAGGCGGAGACGATAAGTTAGCAGTGTTCATATATCCCTATCGTTCGGCTAGACTTACTCGAGATCAGGTATTGGTCATTCCAGTCAATTTTCAACGAGCAATCGTTATAATTGAGCTCTTGGCGCGAACCGTCTAACGCCGAAGGGAAAGTGTTCGCTACATCGGATTCCTTGCCGCTGCCAGTACCGAAGATATGGTTGGTGTTTTCCATGCTTCGTGACTTCATCTTCAACGTTCGTGCAGGAGGATGTAAGCAGCCAATTTACTTTTTGCGCAAAGGAGTGACAGATGCAAAGAAGCTATGAAATGCCCCTCAATTAGTCAATGGCAGTCTACTGGATAGTTCCTTTGGTTCCAAGGCCCGCGTATCTCGCGCCGTCTCAGGCCGCCTCATATAGTCACTAGGTCAGCACTAGTGCTGGCCCCCTTCTTGGCTCCATCTTATGGGCGCCTAATGAGAAACTCACATTTGTCATGTCTATAAACTGGGAACAAAGATGGCCTGCCTGGTTAACATTATCTCCCAGCGACTTCAAGCCTATTCATCTCGAAAGAACGTGAAATTGCAGCCGGAGAGGAGCATCTATAAGTTCATGGGGTGGGTATAGCATCGGGTAAGACAATGCAAGCTGAATTGGCACACATCATGAAGTTACATCCAATCAGAGAAATAGATCATTGGTGGGGCTTAGATACATACTAGCAGACCGACAAGGTGTATTGACGGGCCGCTCCGCAAAGCATTATAGTAGCCTCAAGCTAAGCCTCGCTTATAATACTGCTGCACATTGGTCTTTTTGGAAGCTGATACATACTTATTTTTATCGTGATAGTTTCTGGATCATTTTACAGGACCTCTTAAGTGCCTCCTAATAGTACAGTAGAGGATGCAACCGCTCGCCACTCGCAATTTGCTCCTAATAGACTCGATCCGGGCTGCAGCTCGTTAACCGTGCCGCCGTGACTGATATACATGGCTACTGCACTAGCATGCCTCAATATCACTACGTCCCCGCTTTTGAAATCTCATTGGCCATCTCACACAACATAAGCACACATTGCCGAGTACAATTCATTATCCTCTGTTTGCTTTGCCCGGGCTAACAACACAGTGGGGACGCATATTCTCGGAAGGATTCAAGAACCCCAAGGAATTTAATATACTATTTTGCAGTCTACTATAGAGTGGTCCTAAGCCAAGTGGGTCCAGACAATGGAAATGTACGCGTAGATCCGCTGAATTGACGTGAGAACACTTGCAGATCTTGTCCAAGCAAACAGCTACTAGACCTGTGTTTTGATATGGCTTGACATTAGGGTAATGAATATTAACTTACAACTATGTGGCACTTGTTCTCTCCTGGCTACGGTTTGTGGGCAGTTTATTACACGTACATGTTTGTTGAAATATAGCAAGGGGCTCTTGTTTTGGCCCCCATATTTTCCAAGCTGAGACGAAATTGAACTACCAATCGGTGGATGTGACCAAAGTAGATGAACTATTGGCCACTAGACGCTTAGTGCTGATGCTAAGAGACCGGTGCTTGGGGCCGCACTATCTATTTGCGAAGTCCGTGTGATAACTATGCACGCCCAGAAGATATTTGCAGTTCGACTACTCAGCTTGTCAAAGCCTCTGTACAGTGAGCTAAGGTACTGTATATTGCGTATACAGTGGTAATATGAGTACTACGCCTTGGCTAAAACGGCTAGCCAAGCAGAAGACAGTCTACCTGTATTTGGGAACACAGCGGTCCATTCAGTAGCGACTAAATGAATACTGCCTGTTTATTTTTCCTGATGCTTCTATTTCGTTAACTTGTGTTCTCTTCATAGCTATTTACTGTAACGTTAGATCTGCGAGGTTTCATACTCCTGGATGACGTACTAATTCCCCCAGCTAGTAAGCGTTCTCCTCTCAACCTTTGTCAATTTTGACCAACATGTGGAATTCGTATCTGTCTTTCTACTTTGCCCTCGTCCCCCAGGTCTACAACATCATCAATGGAAGAGCAACTAAACCCAGATATCAACGTGCCTGTCGTTGAACTGCAATCAGATAGGGCAAACTAGTTTGTAACGGCTCTCCAGATGGCCAGTCAGAAGCTCCATCGGAGTCCTCGTTTCTATCAAGCTTCAACACTGTTCGCATGTGGAAACTCGAGCATGTAAATACTTGGACTAACGAAGAACGAATTGGGCATTTAGACAGCCAATCAAAGGCAATTGATCCATGTAATCTTATAGGTCGTCACTCATGATGCTAGAAGCCAGCACAAAAACAACTGAGGGAAAAAAAAACACAAAAAGACATCCAAATAGAAACCAGTAGATCGCTTATGCTTTCTTCTCGGCGTCCGGCGCTTCAGATGAATTACCAGTGGGTTTAGATTCCGCCTCGCTCGCTTGTGGCTCTGCAGAAGTGGCTTCTGTCTTAGCCTCTTCTGCTTCCTTCAGTTTGGTATCTGAAAGAACGATATCACCGTCCTTATCGGCGGTTGATTCATTCTTTTCCTGTTCTTCTGTGATGGAGGCCACAGCCTCAGCTGCTGCTGCTGCGGTTGCTTCATCATCGGCGCCATCTGGACCGAGGTTCATTTCTACGCCTTTCCCGTCTTGCAGACCCATATCCTCGACTCCGAGCACGATTGGGCCACGGGCATGAGGGACTTCGTCAGATGGCTCTGGTGAGGCGGTGGCTGCCACATCCTCAGTTTCTGTAGGTACAGTAGTCGCTGGTTCAGGCTCCTCTGTCGGCTGTGTGGGTAGAGGGGCTTCGGTGCCTTGAACATTAAGTTAGCCAAAAAAAAGAAAACGGTATGGTTGGAAAGTGACGGAAGATACCTTCGCCTAATATGTTCGTATCTTCGCCTTCGAACGAAGAGCCATTCAACCAGGGAATAGGAGTTAAGAGGGCACCACCGAGAGATTCGTCACTCCCAAGGCCTTGAGCATAGTCTGGAGCCAGGTAAACTACGCTGCTATTGCTAGGGTGCACCAATCCGTTCGATTGATCGTCGGCATGAGACGGCGTGTTGAAGGGGAAGATATCTGCCGAGCTTGTCACCGAGACGACACGGTCGACAGCACGGAGATATGCAGGTAATGTTTTATAGTGCTGGGTCGGCTCGAGGACCAGCTCTGCGAGTCTCTGGATGGTATGCGGGGGCTTCTCCTCGAAAAAAGAAGTGATCGACGAGCGGATAGCTTTCAGTAGTAGGACAAGTGGTGGCGGGAGCTGATCATCGGTCGATGTACCAGAGGGTTGGGTTTGCGAGTCTGGCACGCTCTCGCTTGACGGGGGAGAACCCGGCGGGCCTGCAGGCGGGGCATTTTCCTTATTACTGCTTTCGGGTGCAATGCGATTTGCTTCCTGCAGCTGAGAAGTATGGTTGGTAGATGACTGCTGGCCGATCTGCTCTGGGCGCATTCGAGGGATGGGGAACATGTTGTACACGATCTGGAACTTGTAGTCAGACGAGTCGATCAGGGGCCATGGGGGGGCGAGCGCACGTATTCCAGTCGCTCAATCAAAGGCGCAGCCATGCCATTCCATCTCTCTCTGAAGACACGCGTCAGCTCAAGCTTCTAGCTATTACATGGCAGTTTCACACGTACAATTCTATCGAGCCGCCATTGGCGGCTGTCCGGAGAGCTTCCTCATCTGTGATGCCCGGGTCAGCAAAATTGCATAGCTGTTGAGAGGAGCAACGCGACCGTGGTGGTCTACTCACCCAAAGCCATTGTCCAGTTAGCTGTGCACAAAGAGGAAGTTGAAGCTGCGACAGTGAAGTCGGTGACGCGCCAGAGGATATCGCTGATTGGCCAGAGCTTATCGATAGAGTCACATGACTCTCCGCGAATTTTCGGAGACGGAGGGGCAGCGTCGATCTCCCACTTCACATCTTCAAATTGACTCATATAACCTCTTCGACATGTGGAATTCACCTAAGGTGGGAATCCTCGGCGGTGGCCAGTTGGGCCGCATGCTGGTGGAATCCGCTAACCGATTGAACATCCAAGCCAACGTCCTGGATGCCGACAATGCTCCCGCCAAGCAGATCAGTTTCCACGACGGCCATGTCACTGGTTCCTTCAAGGAGCGTGAAGCCGTGCGCAAGCTGGCTGAGTCCTGCGATGTGATTACTGCTGAGATTGAGCATGTCGACACCTATGCCCTCGAGGAAGTTGCATCGAAGGTGCGGGTGGAGCCCAGCTGGCAGGCTATCCGGACAATTCAGAACAAGTTCGACCAGAAGGAGCACCTTCGCAAGTACGATATTCCCATGGCCGATCACCGCGAATTGTCCGACAACACACCGGAGGAATTGGCAAAGATCGGAGAGCAGTTAGGCTACCCGATGATGTTGAAGTCGAAGACTATGGCATATGATGGCCGTGGTGAGTCATGCCTTATGCCGAAATTATATACCGTTTTACTAATGGTATACAAGGCAACTTCCGTGTCAACTCCAAGGAAGACATCCCCGAGGCCCTCGAGGCTTTGAAGGACCGCCCCCTCTACTCCGAAAAATGGGCCTACTTCAAGATGGTTAGTCCTCCGCCGACACATACCCCTACAAGTCTAACACAATCCGTTCCAGGAATTGGCCGTCATGGTCATCAAGACCAAGGACGACGTCCTCTCCTACCCCACCGTCGAGACCGTCCAAGAGGACTCAATATGCAAGCTGGTCTACGCCCCAGCCCGCAACGTCCCCGACGTAATCAACCAAAAGGCGCAAGCCCTGGCCCGCAAAGCAGTCTCCGCCTTCGAAGGCAAAGGCGCCTTCGGCGTTGAAATGTTCCTCCTGGAAGACAACAGCCTAATGCTCTGCGAGCTCGCCAGCCGCATCCACAACTCAGGCCACTGGACAATCGAAGGCTGCGCCCTCTCCCAATTCGACAGCCACATCCGCGCAATCATGGACCTCCCCATTCCCCCCAAGAGCCTGGAACTCCGCCAACCCTCCATCATGCTAAACATCATCGGCGGCGCAACCCCAGACTCGCACCTCAAGGCCACAGAAGCAGCCCTCAGCATCCCCAACGCAAGCATCCACCTCTACAGCAAGGGCGCCGCAAAGCCAGGCCGCAAAATGGGCCACGTCACCGTCACCGCAGCCACTATGCACGAAGCCGAGACAATGATCCAACCCCTCATCACCGTCGTCGACGACATGCGCGCCCAGCGCACCGATATCAAAACGAAAGCCGTCCCCTCCGGCCCCTCAAAGCCCGCCCCCTCAGTCGCAGTCATCATGGGCTCAGACAGTGACCTGAAGACCCTAGTCCCGGGTCTGAAGCTGCTGCGCGATTACTTCGGTCTCGAGCCCGAGGTCGAAATCACCTCTGCCCACCGCACACCGGACTACATGGCCGAGTACGCGGCTCAGGCTGCCTCACGTGGTATCAAGGTTATCATCGCTGCCGCTGGTGGTGCTGCCCACCTCCCCGGCATGGCGGCTGCTCACACTGCCCTCCCCGTCATTGGAGTTCCTGTCAAGGGTAGCTCTCTTGATGGTGTGGATAGCTTGTACAGCATCGTGCAGATGCCCCGAGGTGCGTGAATTGCTAACTATAACTCTCTAAACTTGACCCTACATCCAACAGAGCATGTACTAACCATATTTTCCTCGAAATAGGTGTCCCCGTCGCCACAGTCGGTATCAACAACAGCATCAACGCAGCCCTCCTCGCCGCGCGCGTTCTAGGCTCATACGAGCCAGCCATCCAGCGTAAGGTCGAGGCCTATGCTGAGGCTGCTCGTGCTGAGAATATGGAGTTGAAGGGTACTAAGCTGCGGGAGTTGGGGTGGCAGAAGTACTTTGATCAGATGTAGATGTAGGTTTGATTCTCTGATATTTATGGTCTGAATGTGGATGCTGGTTAAAAATGGAGGAATGGTGGATTGATATGGATGGGATGGGATATAATGTCTCTTCCGATGATTGTATAGTGGGGAGATTCGGTATAACTTTTACTTCTTTAGACGACAATGAATGACATTTTGAGCTTTATACTTCATTCATCTCTGTACATTAGTGTACTTAGAAGTAGCTTTACTTCTATTGACTACTACTAACGTCACAGGCTAATGTTCAATATAATCAACGCAACAGCGGTGGCATTGTGTATTAAACTACCGGAAAGAAACCAATACTCGTACAAAATAAAAATAATGTCCGGACTGCACTAGGGGAAATCATAACGAAGAAGCACAAAGCAGTAACAAAGCAGTAACAAAGCAGTAACAAAGCATCAGGAAGATTAGATATTCAGGCGGAGACATAAGAAAATGGTGTTAGACGAATGTCATGATGATTTTGGAGACGGCCACACTTAGTGGGCAGTGGCGGTAGTTCCGTTAGTGGCAGTGACGCCGTTGGCAGCAGTAGTACCATTGGTGGCGTGCTTGACACCGTCAGGGATTTTCTGGGTCTTGCCGTTGACGAAGGCTTGGTCGACTTCGTCGGAGAAGCCCCGGGATGGGTATCTGTCGACCTTTTCGGTGTTGGTACCATTAGTGGCAGCGGCGGTGGTGGCGCCAGAGGTTCCTGCGGCGGCGGCAACGCCAGCAGCTCCCGCGCCGGTGGTGCTGGCGCCGTGGGGCTTTTTGGTGATGGGGCCGGCGGAGGGGATGCCGGTCGACTCGGAGGCATTGCCGATGCTGAAGATGGGCGACTCCCAGCGCTCACCCTTGGCGGCCAGCTCGGCGTACTCGGTGGCCTTGCTGGAGATGCCTCCGGGAAGCTCGATCTTAGGGAAGATGGAATCGTGGAGGGTCATAACGGTCTGGACCTTGGTGTCACGCTTGGCGATATCCTCAGCCTGCTTGGCCTTGGCCTGGGCACGGGCACGAATAGCATCGCTGTAGCGGGCGAAGATTGTAGGGGCGTTCTCGGGGTCCTCGCGGGCAGCTTCCTGGGCACGCTTGGCTTCGGTATGGATCTCCTTAGCGAAGCCATCTCCCTTCTTAAATGCCTCGCGGATCTGGCCTTCGACGACCTTTTGCAGGGCAGGGCGAACGACACGGAACAGCATGGGCTTGAAGGTGTTGAAAAGGATCTTGTGGCTGGACTTCTTCAGCTTGATGTTCATGTGTTTGATAGACACGTTGACCTTGTCCAGCTTGACAAAGGACTCCTTGTCGTTCTTCTGGGCGGTAGAGGCGGCGATTTTGACGCTGAGGCCTTCACCACCAAGGAAGATGTCCATAATTCCGCGGTCGGTGATGGAGGGGAAGCCCTGCTTCTTCTTGATGTAGTAACTCACATCACGCAAGTCAGCCTGGATACCAGACATGGAGATCATGATCTTGTTGTCGCGCTTGTTGCTGATCTTCTTGCGGCCCCAGCGGAAGTAGTTGTCGCTTCCAAACTCGACAACATTGGGCAACAGGTTGTCACTCTCAATGCACAGGTTCTCGACCACGACATCGACCATGGGGTCAGAGACCTCAATGCGGGGAACGGGAACGTAGCGGACGTTCTCGAAGATACCAGGAACAATGATATCGCGGAGGTCACGAACAAGATCCTTCTTGAAGGTGACTTTTCCGTCTGTGTCACGTCCAAGATCCTTGAACAGCTTCTGGAAGGACTCGGCGAGGGCCTGGTTCTGAGGGTCCTTCTCGAACTGGTCGGCCAAGAACTTGGTCTCATCGACAATGGTATCGGTGTGGCCGCGGTAGCGCTCACGCAGCAAGTAGCGGCCCTTGTCGTAAAGGTCGTTCCACTGGCGGTTGCTCTCATCCTCCATGATGAAGCCCTGCTCACGCAGAGATTTCCTACATCTCGTCAGTTCCGTCCTTCAGGAGCTCTTTTTTTTTCTTTTTCAAAGTACATACCGAATAAGGTTGTCAATGTTCTTAAACCAGTTCCTGAGTTCGGGGTCCTTCTCGGCATCGTGGTAAACGGTATTCAACGAGTTGAAGAAGTTATCGAGGGAAGTGTTGTTGGCAAAGCGCTCGACAAGGGTCTAGAAGATAGTCAGCATCTAGCTATATAAAATTGGCAGAAAAGTACTCACGCGCAAGTTGTACTGAACAGACTGGACGCTGTCATTCTTAAGGACGTTACGGGTAGCACTGCCGCCCTGCTGGGAAACGTCCTTGGTGTGACCAGCGTATTTCTCGGCCATGTCCAGCAGAGTCTCAACGGCCCGCTGGTCTATTTAAGTTGTTAGCGATCTGCAATGACACGGCATCAATGTAAAGCTCGGCTTACAATCAGCGTGACCCTGGATCTCGATGATCATCTTCTTCAAACGCCAGATGGTCTGGTCGCGGCGCTCCTTGGGAATCTTGTCGGAAAGGTAGCTCTTGGTCTTATCAGCGACCTCCTTGGTCTTGTCCTTGGCTGGCACAGCGGGATCATTCTCAGCAACGGAATCAGAGGCAACGTTTTCCTTATCCTGAAGTAGAATTAGCAACGTGTCGGTCTGAAGGGAAGGCGAACACATACGCCCTTGTTCTTCTTGAGTTTGGACTTTATATCCTCCTTGGAAATGTTGGGCTTCTCGTGCCACACGTTCTCCTCGGCGGCCTGATCGATCTGGGAAAGCTCCTCCTCCGAAGGACGGACCTTGTTCGCGGCCTTTTGCGAAGCATCGGCGCCAATATCCTTGAGCAAGATTACGGCATCACTCACTAAACGCAGTTAGAACCAGTCTGCCATATATGGGAAGCACCAACTTACAAAGCTTCCGGAACTCTCCGTTGGTGATCATGAGTGTACCCAGGGTCTTCAGACCCTCGGCAGCCCTGTTCGCATCCTGCTGGCCGGATTCCTTGTCTATGGGGAGATTGGGCTTCTGAGAATCGCCAGTGGTGATCTTCTGCGCTTGCCAGATGAAATCCTGGATCAATTCACCCTCGTTCTTCACCAATAGCATCTTCTTGGCCTGTTCAATAACATTGCGCAGGTCGGCCACGAGGGTCTTTCCGTCGGCAGAGAGCTCCTTCGGGGGAGACGAAAGGGCCTTGGAGTTCAAGGCACTGTTCAAGGCGATGTCGCATTGCTTGTTCTGTGGGGAATTATGGTTAGTACAAAGCGGAGATGGGGCGCGGGTGGTGGGGCGCGACGAACGGATGGGAGCTTGCTGTTCTTGAAGGCTAAACAAAGTGGGTCAGCACAAGTATCAATTGAGTCTCAGGTGTGACTGTGTGACTTACCATGGTAGATACCAAACAATTGGAGCTTCGCGTTGATATCCTGTAGTTGAGGTCAGCGTGCCGCTTCCATCAAAGTCGTTTGTTATACACACCTTCTCCTTCTGTTTCGGATCGGTGGGGACGTTGACAGACATGACGACAGCAATTGAGACGGATTATCAGGGTACAAGAGATGTAAAAGGTATTATGTATGAACTAGGCAGGGTTAGCAGTTTGCAACTTACGCAAACAGAAGGGGGACATACAGATTTGTCCCGAACAAAACAAGGGGGTATCACTGGAATGAAGGAAAATATGGGAAAGGGAAGGAAATTCAGGCAGACGAAGAAGGCAGGGGGCATATAAGGGCAAGCAGTGGTATGACGACAGGATCCCTGAGCAGCACCAGGAACTTACCTAAACTTCTCTGAATGATCTACGATTGACGTCATCATATGGCACACGTAGAAACGGAATTCTGCTCCCCGTTTGCGCTTTGGTTTCCCGCTTTCGAATTGCCTTTGCCTGACTCTACTAAAGTACTACCTAACTTACGTGTACACATGTATAGTATAGGGTGTGGCCCATGTTAACCTGCAGTTGAGTCCACACCTCCACTCCATAAGGCTGCTACATTTATCTGCACCCAAACATAAGCTAGCGAAGCTTCCAACTCCAGACCCAGTCTCAAAAGTCCCACGATCTGCAAACCTGGCAAGATCCAACTCTTGGCATACGCTCCATATCATCATCCATGGTCCACTGTGGGTCATATTGATTATCAGACTCTGCTCACCTTGACGTCAACACAAGATTTGACAAGAAGCATGGCAGGATCCCGGTGAGGGTTCCGTCAATGGAACAGAGTTCACATGACCAGGTGGTGAGTACCTACAAGTAACCTTGACTTGCTGTATTCTCAGGCTGTAATGGAGGAAGCTCCAGCCACAAGAAAAGGGCTCTGTGGCTGTGCGCGCTAAGACTCCCCTGTTGCTTCCGGAAACGGTCTAACGTCTCCACGCCCACATGAGCACCTGCTCTATACAGCCAGATCGAGGTTGATGATCGAAATCTTTTATTCCAAATATTCGCTGTGGGGATGTCTCTCCATAGACTGGGACCTGATCGTCCACTATTTTTTCTCGGGACTCTTTGAAACACGTGCGTTTCAGGGGATGTCTTGGTAAATTTACCGGTTGTATACTTCCGGGCCTCGAGTCTTCAAGTATCACCTAGATTGACTCTAGCCGCATACGACCTACCCTTTGCGCAGTACGGGCCTAGCTTCGAGCATGAAGTATGTGGCACAACATTCGAAGCCAAATCGCATTCATGAATTCGATATAACTTGGTGCCCCATTCGAGTCCGGTGCTTTCTGAAACTAATAAATTGCACTTCAAGGCATTCAAGGGGCCACTAAAATAAGATGCAATATAAAAGCCCCCTCGCCCCTCGATTACCAGGACCACACGAGACATAGTTCTCTTAATTGCCAACCCTACCCAAAGGACCTAGCCTAGACCTGCATACATTTCCATATCGATAGCAATATCAATATCACCATCGCCTTAACAACCATCTCCCTCTCCATCCACATAAACACCAGCCCCCTCCCTCCCCCAATACCTCAAACTATCCCTAACAACCCTCCCCTCCCAACCCCCGTCCTCCCCCTCCGTAATGGGCCCCAAAACCTCAACAGAAAACTGCCCCTTTCCAAAAACCTCGCGACAAGGCAAATCAAGTGTAAGGTTCTCCTCATTCCCCTCCCCAACAACCCCCCTCAACGCCGCCTCAGAAGCAAGATAAACAACGCGACCAATATGCGCCCAGTAAATCGCACCCGCACACATGGCGCACGGCTCCCATGTCGAAACAAGCGTACAGCGCGCCAGATACGCCCAGTCGAAGTTATCTGCTGCGTTGCGCGCGAGTTCGCTTTCTGCGTGCCGCACGTGCGAGAGCGAGTTTGAGATCGCTAGGACTGTTTCGTTGTCGGGGGCTAGAAGGAGGGCTGTGAAAGGGCGTTTTTTGTGGATTGTTTGCGCGGTTGTTTGGAGGGTTAGGGCTTTTTCGGCGGCGGTTTGGAGTTGGAGGGGTGTTAGGGGTTTTACGGTTGATTTTGTCATTTTGGGTGATCGGGGTTGATGGGATTTGGGTTTGTATACGTTGTGGTTTGCTTGTTTGGTTTAAAGTAGGTTTGGTAGTTGATATGTACGGCATACGTGTTTCGGAGGTTTGAGATTCATGCACGGCGGCATCCGACGATGTGAGATAAGAAAGTGAGGGGGAGAGGGGTCCCCTCTTTCCAGGTACGAGTTTCAGCAATTGGCGAAAAGTATATATTGTATGTGGTAGGTGGATTATGTAGTACGGAGACGGAGGTAAATGTTACATACAGGGCATATCGAAATCGTTAATTACATGTGGTCATCATGAGCCCGAGTTACTTGAACTCGGACTCGGAGCAGCGGAGAGACTGCGTCGTAGCGGATCATGAGAGGAGCCCTTAGAAGAGACTCGCACACGAGTATGAACACCATACTCAGGGTGATCGAGGGGCCGAGCCTGGCTCTCACTATCAGGCTGCGGCGTTGAATTATTGTGAAAAGAGAGATCCACGAAATCGGACAGATCGGTCGGGGAGGAGTTGCTGCCACTCATTTCGGTGATGACGACCAACTTGCCCAGGATTGCATATTCCAGCTTCAGCTTGATGCTGTAGACCATTGCCTTGAGGGTGACGTGGATATCGAAGAGACCGGAGTACTGGACTCCGATGACGGCTGCGTCCATGAGGATCATGACGATGTTCACGATGAGAAGCTGGACGAGTGTGCCTCGGTACTGGCTTCTTGGGCGGAGGTTGAGTAGGCGCACGGCTTCATAGGAGTAGATAATGGAGAGGATGATTTCTTGGATGGAGAAGCCGACCAATTGTATGCGCTCGAAGATGTCGAAGCCGCCCTTGAAGAGGTAGGATTTGTTCGAGTGACTGCCGAGTTCGAGGACGGAGCCTGGGACGTGGAATATGATGGCGTCGACGATGATCATGGCAAGGGTGGCGCGGAGGACGTTTTGATTGTGGCAGACGAGGTGTAGTCGTGACCAGAGGACTAGGGATTGGCCGGTTACCATCCCTACCCAGGCGATCAATTCCATCGCTACGGGGAAGAGGTTGTTGTAGATGTTGTAGATTATGAGGAGGTATCCGAGGCCGAACGGGATGATGCTGAAGGAGGAGATGAGGAGACACCAGAAGTAACAGCCTCCATAGCGTTTGAAGGTGGTGAAGCACAGGACGATCAGCTCCAATGCATTGTACCACGCGATTCCGATGAGGCACGCGACTATGGTATTCTCCGCTATCCAGCTTGTGGAGTGGGAGCTGGCCTGCGAGGGATCAGCCGCCAGGCTGATTTTGCCAGGGATGTCGACGCTCGACATGAGGACATCGCCAAATGTGGAAGATACGGTTATAGAGAAAACATGAGGCGTGGAGGAATATTAAGTATATACAGGTATAGCGGGGAAAATGAGGAATTGAGGCATAATAAGAGAGAGAGAGGTTGGGAGGTTGGCGAAAAGGCACAGGAGGTGGCGGAGAACATGGGAGATAAACCATAATTATACATTGATCACTATTGGCTTAACCAGACCGAAAAACTGGGGAATTTTTGGAGAAAGCCCGATGGCGCGGAGCCGGGGACGTACTGCTGATAGGCTGTATGTTAAGCTCAGAACATGCCAACCGTTGCCAACCTAGTAGCGCCGATACCAAGTGTCTCACATTGAGGTTGTATATATGACACGAAGAGTACTAGAGTTCCGGAGTTTTCACGGGGGAACATGTGTTGCAATCGATGATTTGCGATCGGCTATCATGGAGTCCGGAGATAAGCAAATTATATTTGCCATTTACTAATTGCCGCTATTTGGTGTTACTTTAGTACCTGCGTTCGAGGCTAGGCAAGAAACGGCACATTCTACAGAGATTTTGCGCCTTAAAATGCGCCTTGAAATCTCTTCACACAATCTGATTATTAAGATTTCACTATGTAGGGAATTCGCCATCCAATTCCTCCACAAGTTCATCCGACCCATGGTCGGACTTATCCCGGAGAAAAGGGAATAAGGTAAGCGATCGGTTCGATGGTCCCAAACAGAGTAACTCTACCGTGGTCACATGCACTCTTGTCAGGGCTTGTTCTTCTCGGGCCATGGCACGTGGGTTCCTGCCTATCTAGGACTCGGTCATTCCAAGCACGGCAGGAGCCAGAACTTGTGATCCATTCAGCCCTAGATGGCATGGTCTGGCTAAAGAACCTCATCAGAACAGCCGTCGTATCTGAGAGATTGTATATTGGTTTACTATGAGGTCCTTATGTTCTGCGTAGCCTGTAGAAGTTTCTACAATATACCCAGACACAAAGTGGGTGCATAAAGTTATACATACGAGGCTCAAAGATGGCTTGGTCGTCTCCAGGGTTCTTCGACGTCTGTTCTCACATAAACTCTTCCAAAACAACTCAACTATGCTCCAACCCCTAATAACCGCCAAACTATAACCAGCATATGGTCTTCAAATCCCTTGGTACAGGTAACATGTACCAACGTCTCCTATTCCGCATCCATCCGGTGTGTCCAAGCGCAAACTCCAACACAACTCATTAACGACTCTAATAGGAACAAGGCCAGGGCATCTGTCAATCCAGCGCCCCGGCTAGAGTTTCCCGAATTAGTGTGGCAAGACTTGGGCGGAAGTCCGTTTTCCCGGACCCCGGAAGAGGTATACAAATGACGCACAGACTCTTCAACAACAAAACGTAGATGCATGTACATATTCTCTGTAGAGCAGCTATGCAATAATATTTCTCTAGGCTTTCGATACTTCTTACTTGCTACTATCATATGCTAGGTTATTTTGGCACCAGCTGGGTCAATTTCGGATATTATCATGTTGTCAACATTATATATAGCGACAACGAAATGTCTTTTAAGTGCAGGATTTTAAGGCTCACGTTTTGGTCTATCGGTCTTTCTGCTTTAATCATTTCTTCCAACTATAACAATAGTAGTGTCCGTCTGCTTTTTGAATGTGTTTGTACAATATGAACGGAGATTTGAACTATATATCAGTGGCTGTGCAATGCT